CAGGGTATAGGGTTACAGCCTGTGTTGGACGGGGTCGCACTCCCCCTGAAGACGCAGGTTCGCAGTTTGGGTGTGATCCTGGACTCATCGCTGAGCCTGGAACCCCAGGTTTCGGCGGTGACCAGGGGAGCATTCGCACAGTTAAAACTCGTGCGCCAACTGCGCCCGTACCTTGGGAAGTCTGACTTGGCCACGGTAGTCCACGCTCTGGTTACATCCCGTTTAGACTACTGCAACGCTCTCTACGTGGGGTTGCCTTTGAAGACGGCTCGGAAGCTCCAATTAGTCCAACGGTCGGCAGCCATGATACTAACTGGAGCGGAGCGCAGGGAGCACAACTCCTCTGCTGCACCAGCTCCACTGGCTGCCGATTTGCTACCGGGCTCAATTCAAAGTGCTGGCGTTGGCCTTTAAAGCCCTAAACGGTTCTGGCCCAATCTACCTATCCGAACGTATCTCGGCCTATCAGCCCACCAGGACCCTAAGATCTTCTGGGGAGGCCTTGCTCTCTATCCCGCCTGCTTCACAGGTGCGGCTGGCGGGGACGAGAGACAGGGCCTTTTCTGTGGTGGCCCCTCGGCTCTGGAACGCCCTTCCCATGGAGGTAAGATCAGCCTCCTCGCTGATGGTATTCCGAAAAAGACTAAAAACTTGGATGTTCAAGCAGGCATTTGGTTAATTCGGTGCAATGAATGTGTCGACTACGGATTGGTAATATGGATGATGCAATTGGACCACGATTTTAGTTAGGAGATGTATTGGATTGTGATTTATGTGAAATATTGTGTATTATGTTTTTTACGGTTTTAATTGTATACTGTGTACTGTATATTCTGTTGTAAACCGCGTTGAGTCGCCAGTTAGGCTGAGAAACGGCGGTATACAAGGACAGTAAATAAATAAAATAAAATAAAATAATGGGTTTGCGTGCCAAGTCTTGTCCAAATCCATTGTGAGTTAGGTTCAGAGTACTGCTGATTATGGATGAATTATAACCCCTATCTTTTTCTGTCATTGCCCCCTCCCAAACCCCACCAATACTTAAAGTTGGCCTTGATGAGTATGTGTGTCAAGTTTGGTCCAGATCCATAATCAATTTGGCATGGTGTTCTCTGGAAGTTCTCTCTGGATGAGGGATGAACTGCAATTCCCATCATCCAGGATCAATCCCTCCTCCAGCCCCCCCCCCCAATACCTCCTCCAGTATTTTCTGTTGGTCATGGTGGACATATGCACCTTTGCCAATGGGTTAACATTGTCTCTGGAAAATAGAGACACAGACAAACACAGGCATATTTTGACCTCTATCTATGATTCTATCTATCTATCTATCTATCTATCTATCTATCTATCCATCCATCCATCCATCCATCCATCCATCCATTCATTGATCCATCCATCCATCCATCCATCCATCCATCCATCCATATATCTATACACACTTATACACATATAATTTTTCATGAGCCTCACTGATGAAGAAAATAAGTTGTTCAAGGTTTCTTAGTTACTTTTCCAATTGCAAGGAAGTCACCCAAAGCTCATCTACCGACCACCCAATGGTGACTGGCAAAAAAGCACTATTGATATTTTTCTGAGGAAATTGTAGTATAACAGACTCTCATTGATATTTTAGTGTTGGTAAAAAAGAAACATTTTTCAAAAAGTCTTCCACAGAGTCATAGCAAAAGAGCAGTGACATTATGTGATCACCCCCATCTGAAGGCACTACATTTATGATGTAAGTGGCTCGAGGGAGATGGTTTTATGAGACTGGAGAGAAAGGGAGAAGGGCAGAAATAGGGAGTGGGAATGTTGCTATGGTCAGAAACATCAGAAATGAGGATCTGAATATGGTTACTATTCCTATATTGACCAGAAATCATTTCTTCATTTGACTGCAACTGTTCTTCTTCTTACATTGATTCAAATGGCAGTTGGCAGAACAATATGGAGACATTTTACTTTTGTGGGCGGGACATATACCAGTTGTAGTTTTGTCTGGCTTTGAAGCTGTGAAAGAAGGACTGATTGATCATTCGGAAGACTTCTCTGAGAGGCCACTGACTCCATATATTGCAGCTATATCAAGAGGAAAGGGTAAGTTGTGAAGACTACATCTTTCTCCAGAGAAACAATATGAGAGCATTGTCGAAGGCTTTCTTGGCCGGAATCACTGGGTTGTTGTATGTTTTCCAGGCTACATGGCCATGTTGTAGAGGTATTCTCTCCTGGCGTTTCACCTGCATCTATGGCAAGCATCCTCAGAGGTAGTGAGGTCTGTTGGAAGTAGGAAAATGGGTTTATATATCTGTGGAATGACCAGGGTGGGACAAAGGATTTTTGTCTGCTAGAGCTAGGTGTGAATGTTTCAACTGACCACCTTGATTAGCATTTAATTCGGGTTCGTCTATACAGCCCCCTTTTATTGAGGGAGTTTCCACAATAATCTGGCTGTTTGGATGCACCCTCAATCTCAGTAAATGGTTCCTTGGCATCCTGAAAGGCTTGGTTACAGTGGATTTTGCAAAATGGATGGGGAACATCTACCAGAAGTTTTTTCATTCTTTCTTTTTCTTATTGAAACCCATTTTCCTACTTCCAACAGACCTCACTACCTCTGAGGATGCTTGCCATAGATGCAGGCGAAACTTCAGGAGAAAATGCCTCTAGAACATGGCCATATAGCTCAGAAAACCTACAACAACCCAATATGAGAGCAAGCTTAAAGGCACCAGGAGGGTGAGGGGAGATGATGACCAGAAATCTGTTTGTGATCATTTTCTTATATCTGCATTTGCATTTATGTGTAAGTTGTGAAGAGCTGTACTACATCTTTCTCTAGCGAAACAATATGAGAACAAATGAGCCTTTGAGGAAAATTGTTATCGGTTGGAAATTACACTCATGCTGGATCTACACTACCATATATCCAGATTATCAAAGCAGGTAATCCACATTATATGCTTTAAATTGGATTACATGCGTCTACACTGCCATATAATCCAGTAGAGATGTGAATGCTGGATTGAAGGATCAAATGAAAATCATTTGATAAAAAAGTTATCTTAAAATTTGTGATTGGCTGAAAAATACGTTGCTACGGAGGACGATACATCCCTACAGTCAAATAATTCACAAGAGTTGGTTGTGATAAAATGGTGTGGCCTGCTCTCATCTTCATTTTATAATCCCAAAACAGTTGATGAAATATATAACCAGATGGAGCCACAGACACACAGGTGGCTAAATGGAAGCACGAGTCGACAGCAATGACCTGCAAAGGAAACGAGGTTCAAAAGGGCAAACTTAAAGGCACCAGGAGGGTGAGGGGAGATGATGACGAGAAATCTCTTTGTGAGCATTTTCTTATATCTGCATCTGCATTTATGTGTTGCAATGCATCTCTGAGGTTCAATAAGAAAAAGAAAGAAAGAAAAAACTTCAAGCCTTTCAGGATGCCAGGGAACCATTTACTGAGCTTGAGGGTGCATCCAGACAGCCACTTTATTGAGGAAACTCCCGCAATAAAAAGGGGGCTGTACAGACGACACCCTGGACAAACACGAATTAATCTGCTACAAACCAGGAAAACCCACTATCAAATTAATTCACCACAAACTAGGGTTTTCCTGGTTTGTGGCAAATTAATTTGATAATGGGTTTATTCTGTGTCTTCCTGGAAGGCGCGGGATAAACTCACTACTTCTGGTGTCTGGACTGCAGTCCAGATAGTCTTCCCACAGTTTTCTGGACTAAAGTAGCCTGGAAAACTGTGGGAATAACAACCCCCTCCCTAAAAACTCTACAAAGCCCTAAAAAGAAAAGTACTACCCAGCCTCCATTGGAGAGCTGTCACTCCACTCCCCCTTTCTTCTGGCACATCATTTCTATGTATGAGGAGAGCTGCGGCAGCTCTTCAATGGAGGTTGGGCAAGTACTTTTTTTAAAAAAAGGGCTTTTTAGGGCTTTTGGGGAGGGGGTTACAGTGTCCTGGCGTTCTCCCGGGAAGTCCCGGAAGAACATCTGGACACCCGCTCCAGAAAGCAGGTGCTTTCTGGAGTGTGTGAAGATGGCCCTTGGGAACATTCACATTTTTAAAATGTGGATGCTCCTGGGATAATGGCTGTCTGGAAGAGTCCTGAGAGTACTGTGCTCAGACTTTCCTTCAGGTTCCACGATTTCCCCCCACTACCTTTTCCCAAATTAAGAGGCTATCTGGAAGGACCCTCAGTGGAGTTGCTTAAGGATGTTGCTGACTGTTGCCAGTTCTATCCAGACTACATTTTTGGATTTGTTTTGTGTCTCATTTGTTGGCTATCTGTGTTGCATATGGGATGCAAGACTGGAGAGAGAATAAGGATTTGTAATATGGTAGGAAACCAAATCTTTTTGCCCCCAGCCCCTGCTTCTGTCTTCAGGGTGGTGATTGTGGTGCTCGTGTTTGATAGACTCTCAGCTCCTCAAAGGCTGGCGGCAAAGCAATCTGGGTTGGGGATGGGGTTAAGATTTTGAATAACTGGATAATGGAGGGTCGACTTGTATTTAGGGTATTAAGCCATATTTTAGCTGAATTTTGTAAATAAGAATTGCATATTGATTTGTGTCATCTATTTTGCACAAGTCCATGCCCAACTTCTGCCAGCTCTAATTTGATTGCCCACTGTATCCCTGGGTTTGGATATTGAGATTGGTTTTGATTTATTGTAATGCCGTTTATAGTCTACTGTTTAATTGTTTGGTCAGCTGTTGTGTGTTGACCCATGTTTTTAAATGTGGTTTGGTTAGCTCTGTGACTATGGGACTTGGTCCGATTGTAAGCTGCCATGAGTCCCTTTGGGGAGATGGTGACGAGATATAGAAATAAAGTTATTATATTATTATTATTATTATTATTCCTTTCGCACCCAGTTGTTGGACTTTCAAATGGACATACTTGGGAGCAGCAGAGGTGGTTTGGCCTAGTTACACTGCGGAAAATTGGAGTAGGGAAAAAAAGCATGGAGGGCCAAATAGAAGAGGAATCCCAACAGCTTGTAGATGTTTTCACACGTGAAAAAGGTACGTATCAACCTTCATAAGTTTGTGTGTAGTCAGCACTGGTCTTTGATGTGAAATTTGTCATATTTTTGTTGATCTCAAATATAAACATAAGTGGACAGAAATCCCAAGAGTTCTTTATCCAAAGAAAAATCTAATTGAGACTATTAAGTGGTTGACTGATATTGACTGATATTAACTGAACTTGATTTGCAGGGCAGCCATTTGATCCTGCATTGCCCATCACGAATTCAATCTCCAACGTGATATGTGCCATATCTTTCGGATACCGTTTCCCTCTTGAAGATGAAACCTTCAAGGAACTGATTGATGCCATGACATTTACCTTAAAATTTGCAGGAAGTCTTTTTTATGTGGTAAGGAGCATTTTGAAAACAATTGCAATAATGTTTTGAGTGTTGGATTTTGTCATGGCAAAATGAAGTAAATTCTGCAGAGGTAACAGTTTACATTAGGAAAGTAAATATTTGACCATTCCATTCTCATGTATGAGGATGAATGCTTTCTGAAGTTTTCTCTCAGTTGATGGAGAAAACGAAGGCTGGAGTCCTTTTGGAGAGTTTCTTCATTGTAAGTGGACTTAGGTTTGTAGGAATTTAAATGGAGAAGGCCTATTGAATGCATGGGCAAACTTTGGCCCTCCAGACATTTTGGACTTCAACTCCCAGAAACGTGAGCCAGTTTACTGGCCTTTAGGAATTGTGGGAGTTGAAGTCCAAAACACCTGGAGAACTGAAGTTTGCCCATGCATGGTCTATCGTGTCTGCATCCAATATCGGTCTGCTACTATCAACCAGAGTCAACAAAGTGATTGATGGAGAAGGAGATTGATGCAGCATAGAACATAAGGTATATGCATTGGAATTGAGACACCGTCTAATTGTTGTTGAGCATTGAGCACTCTCGTTTCCTGTTTTGCAATCTCATGATTTGGTTTTATCTTATCACCTCTCTTATATCAAGTTACGTAACGTAACGAGTTATTCATGGCTGGTGCAATATTTTTGCAGTTACCACACTAAACCTGCACATCCCAAAGAATTTTGGAGGAAGTGGAGGAAGTTTTCCCACTGGTTGGCCGGCTGGCCAACCAGCAGCCTGCCCTGCACTACCAGCTGATTGGCCAGGGCTGCCCTCCTCCTTCCATCCGGCAGCCCTTTTAAGGCTGCCCTGCGCACGTGCAGGCACTGTGCCTGCTTCAACTTGAGAAGGAGAGCAGCAGCAGCAGCAGCACCACCCCCACTAGCAGTACCGCAGTCCCAGCGAGGAAGGGGGCGGTAGTGGCATCAGCGGTCATTGGTGGTAGCAGTTAGTGGGCCGCAGGCCCAAATTGTCGTGCGGGTGGTTGGTGGGTGCGGGTTTCACCTTCTTGATGGTGGGAGCTCAGGCCTGCAGCTGTCCCCTCCTTCCTTCCTCGGCCTTCCCTTCCTTGGCGGCAACAGGCCCAGCTAGGCCTGTGTTGCGGCAACAAGCCATGTACCTTTTACAGGCTGCCTCTTCTCAGGCCAGCCTGACTTACTTTCCTGGGCCTTTTGGCTCCTCTCCTTTCCCTTTTGGTTCCTGGTGGGAGGTGTGTCATACATCCACATGCAAATGCAACCCAAAATAGATAAAGAATTGTCAGGGCTGAAAAATCAGGAAGTCATCCAAATAAAAGATGACATAGTGGTCCAAAAAGTATTGGAAAATGCCATTAACAAAATGCTGGAACATGGTAGAAGCATTACATAAAACAAACAGCATTACAGTATATTCAAAATGGCCATATTGGGTTTGAAATGCCATTTTCCATTCATCTCCTGCCATAATCATCACAAGATTATGAGATCCTCTTAAAGCTAGTCCAAAATACAAAGTGTGTGGTCTGAGGTTCATTGCACGAGGGTCACCAATAAGATTACTGGCTGTAGCAACAACACAACAATTGGTTCCAGCAAAGAACTGTTGTGCTGCTTCTGAAAAGTCCTTACAGCTGTGAGATCCTCTTTTGAACCAGCTGACTGGACCTTTACAACTGTATGGCATAAACCCTAAGCTGAAGCTGAGTGGGGAGAGTTAATTCTTGCTCTTTTGTCTGAAGAGCCTCATCCTGCCCAGACTCAGATGCCTCTATTCCTGGAGGGTCATGCTCCTGCTCAACAGTAGCAGTCTCTACAGTGTCAGGCTACCTATCCACCATGAGCTGAGATTCTACTGCTGGGAGGAAACTCTCATCCCCATCATCCTTATCTTGCCTGAAGGTCCTGACAAGATGTAGTCCAGGAATACTTGGCTAATTTTCAGAGGCCAGATGAACTACATCCAAGAGTATTGCAGGAGCTAGCAGAAGTAATTTTATAACCAACGCCAATAATCTTTGAGAATTCTTGGAGGACAGGAGAAGTCCCATCAGACTGGAGAAGGGCAAATGTTGTCCTTATCTTCAAGAAGGGAAAAACAGGACACAAAAAATTACTGTCTCAATTTCTTGTTTACAGCCAATAAATGTTCTTATCCTAAAGCAACTTGTGTGTGTCAAAGCTGCTTTAGCTGATTGACTGTGTTTCCTTGCCTCTGCCCTACTAATGGTAGGTATTTGCTTATTTCTTTGTAGCTATATGAAATGTTTCCATGGCTCATGAAGCATCTTCCAGGGCCTCACAAAGAGGCATTTCGTGCTACAAAGATGCTGCTTTCATTAGCAAAGAAAGAAATACAGAAACATAAAGAGCAAATGTCCTTTCAGGAGCCACGGGATTTCATTGATTTCTACCTGCTTGAAATAGAGAAAGTAAGTATCTGCTATGTATCCAATTATACCAATCCAAGAAATGCAATGGTACTTTGGTATCCTCTATGGTAAGATTACAGGATCCCCATGGTTATCAAAATCTGTGAATGCCCAAATTCCATTCTGTATCTATTTAAATAAAAATGACAACACCATTTGGGGTCCCAACCCATAGTTTGAGAAACTCTAAGATAGATGATGTTGTTCATCTGGAGCAGATAAAAAGGTAACCCCCCCCCCCAACCACACACTCATACATACATACACGGTCTATGTCAATGAGCAGAAATTAAAAGCAGGTATAAAAAGACTAGCTTTCAGATGTATGTACCTCTAATAAGGATGTCACAAAAGGATAATCCCCTGCTAAGGGAAAGCCCCAGTACTAAGGCATTCCCACTACATCCAAGACCAGAGACACAGCAGAGCTGCATAGTATAGACATATTTTCTGGATCAGCACCTCAGTCCTGCCAATAAATTCTTGGCTGGAGTCCTGCTGTTGAAACAGCAGCCAAATTCACACGCTTACGAAATCTGTTTCACCTGTAGAATAATATAGTGCTTCCATGCCTTAGTGTTCCTTGCCTTTGAAAACCCTTCAAAATACATGAGGTTGCAATAAATCAATAGGCAACATGAAGGCACATGTACACACATATAAAGACAGCCTTGAAAAGAAGCTTTGTAGTCAACCATTAGTCATATTTCATCTTTCATATTGTCACCATCAGAGGAAGAATGATCCTACCTCTACATATGATGAAGAGAACCTGGCTCAGAATATTCATGACTTCTTTATTGCTGGAACAGAAACGACTGCCACTTCTCTGAAATGGGCAATCCTCCTTTTGGCAAATCATCCAGATATTCAAGGTAAGAGAGAACACTGTGCAGCAAGAGCAACCTGCTGTGTCAGCAGTAACTTTTAAACAATGTGCTCAATCAAAGAAGAAAGAAAATCAGATCTAGTTTCTATTCTTTCTTTGAATGTGGTAGACATTTACAACTGGTCCACACAGTTTACAGAAAACCTACGTACACTTTATTTATCTTGTCAGAAGCGAATATAGTTAAATACTTGGCATTATACTAAATGCCCTTTGATGAGAAGCTGGCCACTTGGAGTGCACTTTATTTGTTTATCTTGTCAGAAGTGAATTGAGAATACAGTTATAATGTATAGGAAAACCACAAACAGAGTTAAACACTTGGAATAATACTAAATGTCCTTTGACCAGAAGCTGGCTACTTGGAGTGCCTCTGGTGTCACTGTGAGAAGGTCCTCCATTGTGCATATGGCAAGGCTCAGGCTGCAATTAGTAGGTGGTCTGTGATTTGCTCTTCTCCACACTTGCATGCCATGGACACCACTTCATGGCTCCATTTCTCAAGGTTGGCTCTGCATCTCATGGCCCCGGGGCAGTCTGTTCAGTGCCTTCCAAGTTGCCCAGTCTTCTGTGTGCCCAAATGGGAATTTCTCATCAGGTATCAGCCACTGATTGAGCTTTTAACCTGCCACTTTTGGTCTCTCGCTTGCTGAGGTGTTCCTGTGAGTATCTCTGAAGATCTTAGGAAGCTATTTCTTGATTTAAGGCATTGGCTTGCTGGCCAATATCCGAACACAGGGTCAGAGATCATGTCACTGCCTTGGTCTTCTCATTACAGGCTGCTACTTCCTGATGGATGTCAGGTGGTGCAATACCGGCTAAAAAGTAAAATTTCTCCAGTGGTGTAGGGCATAGACATCCTGTGATAATGTGGCAGGTCTCATTAAGAGCCACATCCACTGTTTTAACGTGGTGAGATGTATTCCACATTGGGCATGAGTGTTCAGTAGCAGAGTGGAATATGTACACTAATAGATACCTAACTCCAACCATCACCCTTGTAAAAAAAAAAAAAGAAGCACAATTAAAGTCCCGGTAGACCCCACAATCTGTATCTGCGAACCCTACACTCTTCAAGTTGAACTGAACCACCTAAACTGGTCTCTACAGACCAATGGATACTTCAGTACAGACATTGGAAGAGCTGTGAGATTGAGAACAAGCCATGAGAGTAAAGACAAAGATCCACCCAGAAGAAAGTGTTCTTACCATATATCAAGGGAACCACTGACTGCATAGGGAAGCTGATGTAAACAATCTACAGACCCACCAAAATATCCAACAAATGCTCCTTTCAGCAAAGTATAAGGGAGTTCCTCTCACCACTGCAGGAGTGTACAAGTCTACACAGGGACCACCAAACACAGTGCCCAGACACGTATCAATAAACATGAAAAGCACTGTAGACTAATTCAACCAGAGAAGTCACCTGATGAACCAACCTCCCAATCAGAGGATGCCTGGCTCAGGCTCAGATTCCCATTGAGCCATGAAAATGGCATGAACTCTTTGGAGGGACATAAATATCATAAACTTATTGTGATTTGGGAGTTGTTATCTATTAAATTATAATAGATAGACCTGTATGATTTTTTCATTGGACATTATTAAAATCCATGAATAATTATTCTGAAATAAACTTTAGTATTCATATTAAAATTTTCATCAATTTCCACCTTTTTCCACAGATAAAGCTTATAAGGAAATAGAAGATGTTTTGTGCTCCTCTTTCTTCAGCTATCAAGATCTAAAGAAGCTCCCTTATACAAACGCTGTGCTTCATGAGATTCAGCGTTTTAAATATCCCTTCTTATTTGGGGTCCCAAGACAAACTGCCAAAGATGTGAAGATGAGAGGTTTTCTCATCCCTAAGGTAGAGAATGGAGATATGCACTTCTTTATCCCAAGAACAAGGTTGGGAGATAGAAGATTTTGAGAGATTTACCACATAGATGGAGCCAGCGTGGAGTAGTGGTTTGAACAATGGATTTGGTGCTCATCTACATTGATCACTCAGTGCAGATTGAAGGCAACTCAAAAAAGGCATAACAATTCATTTTTTAATACTTTTGATTAGCGAATTTTTACAACATTAAAATCAGGGGGAGTGGAAATAGGGGGTATGAGGGGAGGAAAAGAGAGAGAGGAGGGAAGAAAAGAAAAAAAGAAAAAAGTGGGGGGAGGGAAAGGAGAGGGGAGGAAAAACAGGGTAGGGGTGTCTTACATACACATACACCTTTACTCACTTGGTTTCACTTCTTAAATTAATAGTTTCACTTTGTTTTCTTTTAGCCATGTCTTCAGTGCTGTCCAATCCGTCATCTTCATTGGTTTATTTTGTATTTTTGATAGAAAATACGTTAGTTTGTCCATATTCATTATATCAAAAATTTTCTTTATCCAGTCCTCTTTTTGAGGTCTTGTTTTTAATTTGCATAGTTTTGCATAGTTTAATCTCGCCGCCGTGGTCATATATACAAACAATTTGTCCTCATTTATATTCCATTGAGTATCTGTGAGACCTAAAAGGAAGTAGTCAGGTTTAAAAGGGATCTTCTTCTTCATTATTTTCTGGCAACTGTCGTGGATTTCTTTCCAATATGCCTTGGCTGTTTCACAGTTCCACCACCTGTGGATGAAGGTCCCTCTGCACTTCCCACACTTCCAGCACTTGTCGCTAAGATTTTTATTGAATTTCGCTATTTTCTACAGGGTCATATGCCATTGATGGAACATCTTTATTATATTTTCTTTGAAGTCGAATGCATACATATAACTGAGTTTTTTAGACCATAGCATCTCCCATTCTTCCAAATGGATAGTTCTTTTTAAATCTCTGTCCCATTTGATCATGCAGTTTTTTTATTTGTTCTCTCACTGTATTCCATGTCAATAACTGTTGGTATATTCTTGTTATTATAACAATTCATTTTTAGTCCTTAAATTGGAATAAAGACCTCTGCATATGACAATTTCAGATTGTGCCATTTTGATGGCAGTCAGTGGCAAAAGGGAAGGTGCTTGCGGCCTTCATAGTGCCCCACGTGCCCTCTCTCCTTCCCCCATCATATGGTGGGTATGGGACAGTGTTGCCCCACCGCCCTTTCCCCCATCAGATGGGGAAAAGGGTCAGGGTAAATTCGGATAGCTTCATCGGCACTTCCCCTCCACTTGTGGGCAGGGCCTGCCATGCATTGTGTGATGAAGTATGGCAGGTTCCGTCCTTGCTGTGAATAAAAGCAGCAAAATGGGGCTAAAATTCCCTGTCTGAAAAGGTCCTAAGCAGATTTGTGTTAGTCTCCAAAATAGGCTACTGTAACCACATGTGATGCTGATTGCATTAAAAGGGCTGAATTCTCTCTGATGCTGTATTCGTGTCTAGATCAGGGGTTCTCAAACTGAGGCCTGGGGGCTGGATGTGCCCTCCAACATCATTTAACCCGGCCCTTGCTCAGGGTCAACCTAAATCTGAAACGACTTGAAAGCACACAACAACAACAATCCTATCTCAACACAGAAGTAGTCCCACAAATATAAAATACTAATAATTGTATATTTGTTAAAATTGCTCTCCATTTTAATTATTGTATTGTTTTTAAGTGGGTTTTGCACTACAAATAAGATATGTGCAGTGTTCATAGGAATTCATTCATTTTTTTCCCCAAATTACAATCCAGCCCTCCAACAGTTTGAGGGACTGTGACCTGGCCCTCTGTTTAAAAAGTCTAAGGACCCTTGGTCTAGATGGTCCAGTGGAGCCAACTACATTTGCCCTACTGGCCCATCCCTTGTCCTATGTGTCTCCACTGTTGCTCCTTCTCAGCCATGGAGCTCCCTGCGAGCGCCTAGCCACAATAGCCACCACTGCAAAAGTCATGAGGAGACAGCAAAACCTAGAGAAGACAGTTATGCTGGGGAAAGTAGAAGGAAAAAGGAAGAGGGGACGACCAAGGGCAAGATGGATAGATGGCATCCTTGAAGTGACTGGACTGACCTTGAAGGAGCTGGGGGTGGTGATGGCTGACAGGGAGCTCTGGCATGGGCTGGTCCATGAGGTCACGAAGAGTCGGAGATGACTGAACGCATGAACAACAACAGCAAAGGTCATAATATGCAATTAACATGGAGGGAGTAAAAGTAAAGCAACCTCATCCTTCTTGCTGATCACATAGTGCCTTGTTAGGACATCAAGAGATACAACACTTATGCAGAAAAAAATGAAATGCAATGCTACAGGATGGGTATGCCTGGCTCAACAGCAGTATATGTGAAAAAGATCTTAGAGTCTTTGCAGACAAGTTGAACATGAGCCAACAGTGTGAGGCAGCAGCTAAAAAAGCCAATTTGTAAGATAGGCAGGAGATATCCACTGGAAGTTTCCTTTTTTAAAAAAAATTGACTTGCTGGACCACATATGCACTGATCCGGATATATGAATGTGCGTACAAGCAGATTTCTTGTCAGTCATTATCTCTCTTCACCCTCTTGCTGCCATCAGAACAAAGGCATTCTCAAAGTGTTCTCATGGGAATTGCTTTCCAATTGTGTTTCCATTTAGTCACCTTTGTGTCTGCAGCTCCATTTGTTTACAGCCCTCATCAGCTGTTTCAGGACAGGAGCAGTCCACACCAGCGAATAAGAAGGAAAGCATGTGTTTTTCTTGCGTGCAAGAATATGCAGTCGTGAAAATATGCACATTTTTGGAACTTTAGCTCATCTTTTTATGTCTTACTCTTTAATGCAATCCAGCACACATTTTAGGCAAATGTCATTTAGCCATCCCTCCTTTCATCCTAGTTCCTTCTGCATTTTAGGCCTGTGTAGAAGGGGCCTAAGAGAGATGTGTATGTGCCTGTTTGTCTGACATTGTTTCTGCCTTTCAGGGAACAGCTATTATACCAAACATGCGCTCTGTTCTTCTGGATCCTAAGCACTGGGAGTCCCCTAAAGAGTTCAATCCAAACCATTTTTTGGACCAGGATGGACATTTTGTTGCTAAAGAACAGTTTCTGGCATTCGGTGCAGGTAAAAGCAGCTTGTTATTTATCAGTGTCTTCTGAGGAGTTTCCATGATAAAATGTGCTGCAGCCTCTGTCTTTTGTGAGTCAGTGGAGTTGATGCTCTGCAGCACATATCCATCAAGGCAGCAAAACATTCATTGCAATTATGGCACAATTAAAAACCATAAACAAATACATGATGCTCAGTTCTTGTGGGTTTTTTCGGGCTATATGGCCATGTTCTAGAGGCATTTCTCCTGACGTTTCGCCTGCATCTATGGCAGGCATCCTCAGAGGTGAGGTCTGCTGGAGCTGGGAAGCAAGGGGTTTATATATTTGTGGAAAGACCAGGGTGAGACATGATGGTGCAATTATGGGAAACCAGAAATGTTCTGCCAATAAAGCCTATAAAATCCATGAGAGGGAAAAATGGAGAGAAAACATGGGTGATGGATGTTGGTATAGGTGAAGAGGTTATTCTGCCATTTCATTTTGCTTTGTTTTTATTTGGTAGTTCATAGCATTATGAAAATGCTTTTAGGAAGTGTTTACAATGAAGGAGCTTTAGGTGTCCTTAGCTTGCACAGCAGTCACTCTTTCTTCTCTTCATTCCTCACTATTTTCTTTCTGGCAGACTTTACTTACTTAGGTGATCCCTCATTGGACGAGTAAGATGGTCCTCCATTATGGGTTTCCTTGTGGGTCCGTATGTGGCTGTGGAGCCCTATTCTTGCTCTGCATCTTCTTCCGCAGTGAGGGCATTGGTTTCCAGGTGGAAGGCAGTCCTGGTTGGGGTTGGCCTGGCGCATTTCTCTCTTTCACCCTCCACTCGTGCCTCCTCGAATTCTGCAGCACTGCTGGTCACAGCTAACCTCCAGCTGGAGCGCTCAAGGGCCAGGGCTTCCCAGTTCTCAGTGTCTATGCCAGAGTTTTTAAGGTTGGCTTTGAGCCCATCTTTAAATCTCTTTTCCTGTCCACCAACATTCCGTTTTCCGTTCTTGAGTTCAGAGTAGAGCAACTGCTTTGGGAGACGGTGGTCAGGCATCCGGACAACGTGGCCGGTCCAGCGGAGTTGATGGCAGAGGACCATTGTTTCAGTGCTGGTGGTCTTTGCTTCTTCCAGCACGATGATGTTTGTCTGCTTGTCTTCCCAAGAGATTTGCAGGATTTTCCGGAGGCAGCGCTGATGGAATCGTTCCAGGAGCTGCATGTGACATCTGTAGACAGTCCACGTTTCGCAGGCATACAGAAGGGTTGGGTTGGGTTTCTGGCAGATAGTAACACCAAAACTGTTGGTGCTTTATGCTTAATTGAAAGCAAATTGCCTCCCCTCTTCCCTTGTTATACCTCTATCTTATTCATGCCACGGAGAAAACACATGAAAGAAACAGAAAGGATTGCAAGGCATACACGACTAAAGCACTCCTGAAAGATGCCCTTTCAACCTTTGTTTACCATTGCCCAATGATGGAGAGGTCACCATCTTTCAATGTAGTCTATTCCAATTTAGACCACACTTTCAAATAACAAGTTCTTTCCAATGCTTAGGCAGAATGGTTTCTCTTTTAGTTTGAAACTGATTGGTTACAGAGGGTGGAGTGGATCATGGCTTTCCAATCCATAGTCCAGTTTTCAATCCATCCCTGTTTGCTGAATGGGATACATGCACACTTTCTGCCTTTGTTTCCCCTGCAGGATCTCGGGCGTGTTTGGGGGAGCAGCTGGCAAGGATGGAGTTCTTCATCTTCTTTGTCAATCTGCTGAGGGCCTTCCGTTTCCAGCTGCCTCCAGGAGTCAAAGACCTTAATGAAGAACCTGAAGCAGGACTGTCAACACCACCCCATCCTTATAAAGTGTGTGCTGTTCCTCGCTGTAGTTCATCATAAAATATACAAAAATAATAGCAATGGCATGTACTTCATTGCTGCAATTTTAAAACAAATCCACAATCCCTTTCATTTTCTAAATTTCTTTCATGTGCTTAGAATCTGAAGCAAACCTGTGATATAACTCAGTCATAAAGAGATTCTGTCTCATTTGGAGGTCAAATTTTTCAGTTTCAAGAATTCTTGCTATGCACGGATGTAGTTGGGATAAAGTAATATTGTCTATTGTGGGCTGGTCTACTTCTTTGTGGATCTGTTTTCATATCCTCACTTTGCCATGGAAACTCCTAGGCGGTCTTGGGGAACCGTACATTCTCAGAGGAAGGTCATGGCAAACTGTTATGAACAAATGTTACTGACAAAACCCTGTGATCGGTTCACCTTAGGGTTCCCCTGGATCTGAAAGGCACACTACCGCAATCAGCTGCAGTAGGAGCTGTGTCCAGACCACAGTATGTATTAGCATCTGCTGCTAATGTTTTCAGAAGAAGCCATATGTTGGACAGAATCAAACAGACAGGTGGGAGAATATAGACAACCTGGAACAGAGAGCCATTGAAATGAGAGATGGATGAAGAAGACAAGGTCCCCATCTGCATTATATGGCAGTGCAGATAGGGATAAGAAGATGCTGCGATAGCAATGTCAGGGAGACAACATATTATCTTCTATAGAAAGGGGAACATAGAATAAACACTTCACCCACTTTCCATTGGTTTCATAATACCATAGACTCCAAGGGAGTGGGTACAAGTTGATATATTATGAAATCAGCATTCATAATCCAGGAACACTGCTTGGCCTCAGACATGGCCTATAGGGCAGTGCTATTCCTGAATTCTCCAGTGAAGGGGGAGGGAAGCTGAAAATGGAACCAAAAACATTTTTGGGCACCGTGCACACCCCTATTAAAGATGAGAAATAAACAGGCAGTCCCTATGTTCTGTACAGAATAGTGTGTGTAGGTTTGTTCTTCAATTGCATCTGTATGTAAGTTGGAACAGGTACATTTTGTAAGTGTAACTCCTATCTATATCTATCTATCTATCTATCTAATTATCTAATTCTATCTATCTATCATCTATCATTGTCTGTCTATCTATCTATCTATCTATCTCTCTCTCTCTCTATCTCTCTATCTCTCTATCTCTCTATCACACACATACACACAAAAGGATAAAGCTTGATTTTGCTAACATACACACACACACAAATACACTGCAAGACCTCATTTGATTGCGGCTTTGTATGTATTAGAATTTCAGCATCCATGGATTTTGGTATCCACATTGGTTCCTTGAATTGAACTCCAGTGGATACTATGCTCCCCTATAAATTTATATAAATAAAAATGTAAATGTCAGTTTGTTCATTACCTCAAATCTCCCAAAATGCTTCACCAATTGTTTTGAAATGTTTGCACCATGTAGCATTCGAACAGGCAAATGTTTACAATGTTTTCACATACCTACAATTATATAGATCTCACACCTGTGACAGGTAAAATATGCTCTGCTTCAAAAACAGTGCCATCTGCTGGACGTTCAAGAAACACACACTATACAATTACACGATTCTATTTCAATCTTTCCAAATGCTTTGCTACGTTGAATTTTCATACACTAGAGAGGTTTGGAGATAATGCACAATGATTTATATGAGTTGTAGGTTCTGGGATGTATAATTCACCTACAATCAATGAGCACTTCGAAATTGGATCAAACTTGGCACACAGAGCCCCATGATGAGCAAAAAGTTCTTTGCAGAAAGTTCACCTTGATTTGGGGGAGTTGTAGTTCACCCATATCCAGAAAGCACTGTGAACCTAAACACCGATGAATCTGGACCAAACTTGGGCACATGTGCCCAATATACCAAAATTTGATTACTAGAGGGGTTTAGGGGGGATGGGACAAACTTTCCCTTCTGGGAGTTGTAGTTCACCCACAACTAGGGAAACTGGGACCTCCATATAGTTTCATTTTGATTTAATTGCATTGGAATTCTCCAGTGCCTGGAATATCATTATGCCAAGAGATCACACTGTAGAACTGAGTCAGTTTGAAACCACTTTCACAATCTTGGCTCAAGGCTATGGGGTTGTGGAAGTTGCCGTTTTTTGCAACACTTTTTGGCAGAGATGGCAAACTACAACAGCTTCCATGACTTCATGCCTTTGAGTTGGGGTGGTGTCAAAGCTACACCCATTCTCCAGGCTGAGAGCTGAAGGAGGTGGCAGCAGTGACTTCTCGCATGGTGCTCTCTGGGGAGCTGCGATGACAACAGGGGAAGGCCAGCAGTGGTGACTCCCAGGACCAGGAGGAACCCAGTCAGTGGCCTCATAACAGAGCTGTGACGACAGAAGGGCTGCAGGGAGGTAGAAGAGGCAGCAGCGTTTGATACCGTTGACTACAATTTAATGATCCACTGTCTCACCATGTCCGGAGTTCGCGGTCAGGTCCTCAATTGGTTCAATTCATTCCTCCGGAACCGGAGTCAGTGTGTGGAATATATGGACCAAGTCTCCGAAAGTTCTCCCCTCCTATGCGGGGTACCCCAAGGTGCAATTCTCTCCCCTCTTCTTTTCAACATCTCCGTTAGACCCCTTGCCAGTTTGGTTTGGAGATTTGGCCTGGACTGCTATCAATATGCGGACGACACCCAACTCCTGTTGTGCTTGGAGCCTGAAGTAACATCAATACCTGACAATTTCACCTTATGCCTGGAGGCTCTGTCGAACTGGCTATGTGCTAGCAGACTGAAGGTGAATCCGGCGAAATCTGAGATCCGATAGGTCCGTCCCATCCGTTACCTACCTTTGATGGCACTGCTCTATCTCCATCACCTACTGTTAAGAGTTTAGGTGTCGTTTTGGATTTACAGCTGATAATGGAAGCTCAGGTCGCTGCTGCCACAAAACAGGCCTTTTTCCATCTATGACAAGCGAGGCAACTGGCACCTTACCTGTCGGATGAGGCTCTGGCAACAGTCATCCATGCCACGGTCACATCTAGGCTGGACTATTATAACACCTTTGTATGTTGGCCTTCCTATTTCTACGACCCGAAAGTTCCGTATTGTCCAGAATGCTGCAGCCAGGTTACTCACAAAAACACCCATGAAATGCCATATAACAGCAGTGCTGGGGCATCTACACTGGCTTCCAATTGATTATCGTGGTTT